TTGATCCAACGTAGCCAGCTAGAAACTCAGACTCCGGTTGGCCTACTCCATAACGCTTGTTACTCAACTCACCACACTGCCTCAGGAAAGTTGAAAAAGCATTCTGGTCCCTAAAAGACACTTAAATCATCCACAAGACCCTGGATCACTCACTCAACTCTTTATCCTCCCTCAGAACTGTGTTCTTCTCCCATGTTTATTTACCTCATGTTTCGCCATTTGACCATGGTGGCTTCCTGAGGAGAGTAGTTCCTGGATGTCTTACCTGCGATGGTCTCCTGTGGTGGTATTTTCCTTCAGGGAGCAAGCGCTGGGACATGAGGGGCAGTACGTTCTTCAACAACTGGCCCGAGCACGGACAAACCACACGCCTGGCTCCCATGTACACACACCGCACACAACACCTACACGCTTGAACTTGGACAAACTTGCACGTGCCATCAAACGGGGACACACGTGTGTACTGGGTCACACATGGACACCAGGACATCCCGTATTTTTATTGACTTGAAATGTGACAACACCTGGACGGAACAACTAGAAAAAACTGTACGGTACCTTTGGGTGACTTCAGTGTGGCCACTGCCCAGTCACCATCACAACTTCCTAAAAAAATAACAATCATGAGATGCTGATCCGTTGGCCGGTTTCCCATGTCCATCCATGTGCCCTGCCCCAGCTGCAGCCTCCAAGGGGGACAGGCCTCAGGGGAAGCAGGGACCATGGAGAAAGGACCAAGTGTGCAAAAAATGCAACGAGGTGTGCACCTCTTTCCACGAGGTTTTGGAGCAAAGTCATGTTAAAAATCAAAAGAGACCTTCTGCCAAAAGCCTAGGTGTTTTCAGTTACATTACCTAGAGAGAAAATTCTTAGGCAGTAAATCTGACTCTAAGCAGCCCTGTGGGTACTGTGGTTAAGTGCTTGGCTGCTAACTGAAAGGCAAGGTTGGCAGTTTGAACCCACCAACTGCTCCATGGGAGAAAGATGTGACCGTCTGCTTTGGTAAATATTACAGCCTCAGAAACTCTATGGGGCAGTTATGTTCTGTCCTATAGGGTTGTTGTGAGTTGGAAACACCTGGACAGCAATGAAGATGGGTTAAAACTGACTCTAAATTTCAGGCCTCTAAGAAAGAACCATCTGGGTCATATTAAGTCACTTTGGCTAATGACAACACTCTGCTGACAAGAGCTACCTTTGGGTCCTGTTTTATTGCAATCCTCTTCCTGAGAAGGCGCATATCATTAGCATGCGGTGAGCACTGCTGATTGTAACACTAAATGCCAGGTAGAAAGTCCCATGGGGCAGGGACTGCCCTACCCAGTGGCTAGTGTGTTTGGCAATCACTGAATGAATGAATTCCGTTTTTTCCATGTAGTTACTCTTTCTAAACCAGTTGCCATCAAGTCAGTTCCAACCCATGGGGACCCCTGTGTGTCAGAGAAGAACTCTGCCCCCAGGGTTTTCAATGGCTGATTTTTCAGAAAGAGATCACCAGGCCTTTCTTCTGGGTGGAATGGAACCTCCAACCTTTCACTTAGCAGTCAAGCCCATTAACCATTTGCATCAACTCCACAGTCGCTGAGTCGATTCCGACTCACAGCCACCCTAGAGGATGGAGTAGAAATGCCCCCATAGGCTCCCCAAGACTATAATCTTTACGGAAGCAGATTTGCACATCTTTCTCCCACAGAGCAGCTGGTAGGTTTGAACTGCTGACTTTGCGGCTACCCATGGAACACTTAACCACTGTGTGCCACCGGGGCTCCTCTGTGGTAATTCCCCTAAACACTAAAGGAATCAAGCTCGTTATCTTAGAATCCCATAACGACTAATGCACTGCCTTATGGAACAGATGTGCAGCTGACGTTTTGGCAATAAATCAGTTTCTCCAAATTGAATTTCATGTCAGATGTACTGAATAGGCCCTGAGGCAGAATCCTATGGTGACTCCTTTCCTAAAGTAAAGGACGGTGAGGATGACCATTAGGGACAGCCCACCCCCTTTTCCAGTGACCTTCTCTGTAAAGCGGGTTTACCTAAAGTGAGGCAAACCTGCCTGTGTCTCTGCCCATTGGCTGGAGGCCTGACTAATCAGCGTGTGCTACTAGCTATCCTTTCCTTTCTGGGGAATCTACCTGGAAAGGCCCTGTTTCTGCCTAATTTCCACACATCTCAGGCTGCCAGCTGAGAGGAGACACAGGGAACAGGCTGTGATGGGAATGATTACAGAGCTCAGATCCGGCCCCATTTAAACATTTCTGGATGGCCTCCCAAGCGTGCCAAAGGACACTCAAATTGCCACATTCCCCCTGCGGAGCTGAACTCCACACCCTCATCACTCACAAAGGAGGGGAAATGGGAGTGACAGCCACAAAGTGACGAAGTTGAAATTAAGTGTGACTACCTCCCCTCTTGCCACCAGGATGGCTTGGTGTTTGTTTCATCTCCCCCAGAGCCAGGGTCCTTGTCATCTGGAAAGAGAGAGGCTGTCCCAAGTCTTCCTGTGTGGGTGGCCTGGAGGCTGACAGAGTCCCCGACCATGTAACACCCATCAAATCCATCACTGTAAGCCACACAGGCAGGATATATCTGGGTCCCCTCTGTCCTCAGTACCCAAGGAGGGCCTTAGTCTGCAAAGTAGAAGATTTTACTTCCTAGATCTGTGATAACAAGAGCACTTAACAAAAGGGCACACAGGCTACTGAATGGGTACTTAAGATGTCATTACATTGTGGGTGGCACTGTTGTTACTGCTGTTGCCACGGAATCAGCCCAGACTCATGGTGACTCCATGTGTCACACAGTAGAACTGTGCCACAGGGTAGGGCGTTCTTGGCTTTCACCTTTGTTTTTAACTTTTTATTGTGGTTTGGGTAAAAGTTCACAGAGCAGATTGATGCCATTCAACTGTCCATACACATTTTGTTTCATGACACTGATTGCAGTCCCCACAATGTCACAGCTCTCTTCCCACTTCACCCCTGTGTTTACCATTTCCCTTCATCCTTCTTCCCTCTCCCTTCCTGCTTTCTGAGCTTCATGCCTGGGCAAATGCTGCCCTTCTGATCTCGGGGGGTATTTATCCTCAAGAGTACATACCTCCTCCCCGGCGTTACTATTCACCTCACAGGCCAATCATTTGGCTGAAAGTTGAGCTACAGGGGTGATGCATTTCCAGGCATGAAGGATGACTAAGGGCCATAGTCTTGGGGTTCCATTGGTCTCTTTCAGACTAGTCCATAAACCAAACCAAACTCACTGCCATCAAGTCGGTTCAGACTAGTATTGGCTTTCATCTTTAAGAAAGCAGACTGCCACGCCTTTCTTCCTCAGAGCTGCTGGGTAGGTTCAAACCGGCAACCTTTGGGTTGCCAGACAACTGCATACCACTTGTACCACCCAGACTCCTGTATTAGTTTTCTGGTGGGTGAAAAGTTAAACCCCCCTCCCTCAAAAAAAATCAAACCCACTGCCATTGAGTTGATTCTGACTCATAGTGACCGCCATCGGGTTTCCAAGGCTATAAATCTTTATGGAAGTAGATTGCCTCATGTTCCTCCCATGGAGCAGCTGGTGGGTTTGAACCACTGGCCCTCTGGTTAGCAGCCAAATGCCTTACCCACTACGCCACAAGACCTCTTAAAATGCCTCTTAATGGGGTCTCCCAAACCTTGCTTTGCCTAGTTGTGTCCTTCAGCTACGGGAACTGCTGTGTGGAAGTCAGCACTACTACCTTGAAAGAACAGAGGATTCTGGGCCTGGCAATGGTGAGTGTAACTGCTGGCTTTGCTATTTATTGGAAGTGAGACTCTGGGAGAATGTAGTAACAACTGTAACGAGCCTCAGTTTCTCTATCTGCACACTGGTGGGACCAATACTGCCCTCAGATGTGCGTCACTTGGCAGGTCAGTGAAATCACACCCCACGGCTGCCCTGACTTTTCTTTAAATTAAACTAGTTGTAGTCCATCCACGATGGATGGTCTCATGCATCTCGTAGGATAGTCATACATGACTCCTGCAGTGAGAGTGAAGAGGGATTTGATGTCACGTTGAAATCCATGGTTGCCGTGGTATTCAAAAGCGCTATTGGAAAATGCAACCAGACTCTGGCAAATCAGCCATACTGACATGTCCAAGGCCAGCAGAGAAAATGTTACCGTATTAAATTTTTGAATTTAAAACAATAGCATTTTGTAAACAGATTGCATTTTATCACTGATGATGGTATATTCTGTCTCCTTCTTTTACTGGGTCCCAACATGGCTCTGGTAGCATAGTGGCTAAAGCACTTGACTGCTCACCAGAAGGCTGGCGGTTCAAACCCACCAGCCACTCCTTGGAAGGAAGGTTGGGCAATCCTACTTCCATAGTGATACTGCCTAGGAAACCCAAGGAGGGGTCGCTATGAGTCGGGGCCGACTCGACTGCACATAACAACAACAACAACAACATGGCACAGAACCATCCAAAAGGAACAGTCTGGAAACTGAGGAGTCCGAGGAGTTAAAGTCTCATACTTTAAGGGAAAAACTGGGCCCAGACCCATGAAGATATAACTGCCAAGGTACAGGGCATTTCTGTCACCATGTCCGTTTCCCCAGGGATGAGAGGTGGTGGTCCTAGAGGCAGGAGCCATCCCTTTGTCTGAGTCACCAGATGTTTTCCCAGACACTCTCTGTCTTATAAATACCAACAGATGAGGAGCCCCAAGGTGGGTTCTCATGCAGCAAACCCACCCCTCTCACACGTGGCTTGGGCAAGGGAGCTCCTTCATTGACCCTTCCAGTTAAACTTTGGCCGTGTCCACAAGAAAAACACGTCTTGGCTTCCACATCCACCATTAGATGATGACTTCATCATCTACACTGATGAATGGGACAGATCTTTTCCATATTTCGATGGGACGTACCATTAAGGGACACCAGACTGAATACCTGGAGAATGAGTATTTGAATATTCATTGGAAATATTTCTAAAATGATTAGACCCACACTTCTGATTCAGTGAGGTGACTCAACTGAGCAACACTGAATCCTTCTCTGATAGACTATAGCACATCATACATCTAGACGTTGACATTCATGGTCCAAACTATGTTTCTGTTGTTGTTCGCTGCCACTGAGTCCATTCTGACTCACGGCGACCCCACGTGTGCAGGGTAGGACTGCTCCACAGGGGACTCCACAGGGTTTCCATGGTTGTGACCTTTTGGAAGCCACTCACCAGGACTCTCCGCCGAGGCACTTCTAGGTGGGTTAGAACTGTCAACCTTCGGCTATTAGCCAAGTGTGTAACTCTTTGTGCCAGCACGTGGGAAAAGGAAGGGTTTGAGATGACGCTTTGTTTGCCTTCAGGGCAGCTGAAAGGAGCCACTGCAGTTTGCTTATTTACTTTATCAAGTTGCCAACATGAGTTACATTTCATATCATCTGTCTTTCCCATCAAACTAGAATGAAGACTGTGGATCTAACTCGCTTCCTCCAAATGAAACCTGTATGACTGCGTGGCAATCAAGCTACCAGTGGATTTGGGATCAGAGGAAGGGCGTGACCAGGAAGCAGCTCTGGTCTGGAGACCTCCATATGCTGTGGTATTTACCAT